AGCAAACGTATGAAATTCTATCGCCTGTAGGACACTTAATTAACCGCTTATGTTATCTATATTTATCTGCATTTATCTACGTTGTTCAGCGCGATAACGATAAATAATCAACGAATTATATCAGTATACACACACACACACACACACACACACACACACACACACATATATATATATATATATATATATATATATATATGTAATATTAATCATATTAACAATTCCCTTATTAAGCAATAATTTTTCATTCGGATGCGATTTCGTAAAATTGCACAATTCGTAAGCGCGTGATCTATATAGGTGTACCATTTCGTCGTGGGGATCTTTATTCGAACGTATGACGTATTTGCGTTCTGAGAATTTAATAGCAGCTCCCGGGAACAAAGAATGAGAAAAATAATGCTCGAAATGGTCTAAACAATGATCTTATGACGAAGGTTCAACAGGCATTCTTTTAGAAAGTGACAAAAATCGATTTTCAAAGCAACAAATCTTTGTAATTGTATACATTAATAACTAAATTGACACAAAGATAGATTTACGAGTACCTTCAAAAGATAAAGATTGCGAGAACAATTGCCGCTTGTCAATTATTATGACTTTACTTTCTTTTTTCGTGTATATTATTTATTATAGAAACAAATTTTTCGGACGATATTTAGACCTATTCGTTTGGAATGAAAAAAATCGTTTTTATTAATCAATTATTCTATTCTCGCCAGCTGAGCCTGCATGGTTCCATTTCTCTAAATTTCTTCAATGTGAAAAGAGAAAGTGAAAAAATGAATCAAGAAAGAAATTCAGGTATAAAAGAATATTCATAAAAATTCTGAAAAATTTCATTATCATATATCACCAATTATGAATTCTTTTTAAATCCGAAAGATATATTCTTTTTTTAAACTTTTTCTATTTCTTAATTTTATATAAGAGTAAATTATAAGTTTGGTTTTTGTAGAAATTAAATTATTACTTTTATTAAAGATAACATATCTACAAACGTGCATATAAATATATTTCTATATATGTATATTTTTTTTTTTTTTAGTTTATTTCGAACAGATTGCGTTAATTCATAAAGAATTAAAGAATATTTTTCAAGTTTAAATGGATCAGTTGTGTTATCTGAGCTGGGGTTGATTGTGTATCTTAACACGCAAGGAAAGTGAGTAAATTTATTTACAAAAAAGTGAATAAATTTATTAGATATTGAGCAATGAAATTATAAATATTCTAGTAAATATTCGCTCGCTTTTGTAATTTTCATCTTGTTTCAAAATACATGCAGAACGCTTTCTATTTCAAGTCGACACAAGTGTCGTTCTGTTTTTTGTTTGTTACTCATTGAATGTCAAGAATGATAGAATGATGTTTGTGTCGACTTGTATCACTAAGATCCGATTGCACTAACATTATTTTGAGTCGAAACTCTCTCTCTCTCTCTCTCTCTCTCTCTCTCTCTCTCTCTCTCTCCCCTTTCTCTCTCTCTCTAAATCTGAGAGAGAGAGAGAAAGGAGAGGGAGAGAGAGAGGAGAGAGAGAGAGA